TTGCTTACGTAGTAGAAATCCGAAAAATAGGTCCATAAATTTTTCGCCACTTTCCGATTCACCAAACATTTCGTATCGGCAAGGAAAGTGCTTATGGCACTTCCTACGCCGGTTTCCCTTTATAAATCACAACCGACTCGAAATGCGGTGCAGCTTTTGCGGGCTTCACGTAACGCCCATATTTGCCTATAAATAGTCAAAGAAATGCCCTTTCATTCATTCATTCTGACTGACTGCTGTTGAGGCAGAATCTCTGCTTCGCGCGTTCCTCTATGAGTTTGTTTTAAAAGAAGGAAAAGAAAAAAAGCAGCCAGGATAAGGGTTAAACAATAATCTGCTTTAATGGTAAAAACATACAATACATCACCCAATCACCTAATCACCTAATCACGAAGCACTCTGCAGAGTACTCCGGGCTCAGGTTCTACCACCGTGTGATATACGTACCACGACAGCCAGTCAGAAACAAGAGCACCGATCTTCAAAATGATCACAACATTTATACACAGGTGGGGAGGAGTTTTATCGCTTGCTCTTCCCTAGCTATTTGTTATTGGCGAGTTTACTGCTGAGCGAGCTAGCCAGTGAGTTGGCAGTGTTCCATTGGTCGGTTTCACTTCTGGGCGGGACCCCAGGTAGTGAGTCAGCAGTTTGTTGATTCCATCTGTTGCTTCTGTGCGGCGCCGCGCGCGCTGTCGCGTCGTGTGTGTGTGGTGTTGTGTGCGTGTGTGTGCGCTGTGTGTGCGTGTGTCTGGTGTGTGTGTGTGTGTGTGTGTGTGCGTGTGGTGTGTGTGTGGTGTCGTGTTTTCTGTCCCTCTGCGCCTCTCAGGCAGTCCCCAAAATCAATTGATTTTGGAGTCATGACAAGAGAGTTAAGTGAGCGTTACTTTTAGAATCAGAAGGACCTTGTCTTCTTCTAACTTCTGTGTGACCAATCATCTCCTGATCTGATAAGAGTCTTGCAGGAAACGGCACGTACATTTCAACACACCAACACCCCTTATCGTTCCTTAACTTAATGCATGCTGGACATTAATCACTAATTAACAGGACTTTAACTTCATTATATTTGAGGAAAATGTCCTTTGGCTTAATCAATAATAGTTTTAGNAAACTGTTGGGTTTTCTCTGGAAGTTTTTCCTTGTACGATGTGAGGGTCTAAGGACAGAGGGTGTCGTATTGTCATACTGATATTCTGTACAAACTGTGAAGTCCACTGAGAAAAATGTAACATTTGTGATATTGGGCTATATAAATAAACATTGATTGATTGATTAATTGATGAGAAGGAGCCAGAAATGTCCAACAGATAAAACCTTATGAAGGGGCCTGGCGTAGACCAAGACGCCGCCGTGCATATGTCTTCCACACTCACACCGTTGAACAAGGCTGTTGATACAGCCATACCACGTGTAGAGTGTGCATGGACCCCAGTGGGGAAGGCTCTCCCCACCTGTCCATAGGCATATGAAATGTACTTGCAGAGCCATCCTGTCAGGCGCCTCTTGGAGAGAGCTTTTCCATCCACACCATCCCCAAAGAACACAAACAGCTGTTCAGTGCGTCTAATGGCAGCTGTGCACCCTACATAACATGCCAGCGCACGCACCGGGCAGAGGAGGTGCAATTTAGCCTCCCTATCCCCAATATGGGGTGGAAGACTAAAGCCGTCTAACTGTATAGCCCTCGACCTGAACGAGCTCCTTAGGTTCTTGGGAACAAAGGGGGGGTTCGGTCTGAGTGTCGCCCTGCTACGGTCACCCTGAATCGAAAGGCAACTCGGGTGCATCGACAGAGCGGTCAGCTCGCACACTCTCTTGGCCGAAGTCAAGGCAAGCAGCAAAGCTGTTTTCAATGACAGTGCTTTCAGGGAGGAGAGCTCCAGAGGCTCAAATGGTTCTGTGACCAGAGCCTCGAGCACCAATGGCAGATCCCATTGCGGGGTGGAGATATGCACCACTGGGTGCTGCCACCAGTATCTGTAAATAGGACAGAATAGAGCCCAATGTACATGATAGNCCCCCCCAGAGCCACTTCCTGCAGTGCGCGGCTGATAACCCGGACTTTGAGGGTCTGGAGTGTGAACTGTTCGAGTCTCCGTACCCGATGACCATGGCTCTGTCCGTGCTCGTCACCATCGAGATGTGCAACGCTCTCAACAGGTAAACACACTATCAGCGTGGATTTGTATATACCAATACATCTGTGGAGAGAAGTAGGAAATCCCCACATTGGCGAGGCTCAAAACTGTATTTTCTGTCATTGTTTTGCAGTGAATTAACTTTAATAATTAATTTGTTTAAATGTTAAATAAAATGTTTTATTAAAAGCTATAATTATAAACAATTTAATAGTAGTATAAGTAGTAAAACCGCGTGAAATAAACGCAACATTAATAAAATAATTACTAAATATAATATATACAATACAACTTAAATACAATAAATGTATGATTAATAAAACAATTATAAAAATGTAATATTATAATTTAAATTCAATAAAATTGAACTTAATTAAATAAAAATTGATAAAATCAAAAATACAATAATATCAAATAAAAAAATTAAATTATGATTAGTAAATAAACAAAATGATATCACTATTTTATAAATTAAATATAAAGGAAACTGATTAATAAAATCAAATAATAAACTAAAACACAATACAAATAAATAATAACATAACAAATAATCTGATTAATCACCATTAAAAGAATGATTAATAAAATATCTCGCTCAAAAACAACTTTAATGCAATAAATCATATAATTAAGAAAATAACAATGACATTTTTTTTTTATTGAACAACTTAATTGCTATAGAAAAAGATTAATAAATACAATTAAAGCAAAAAAAAACATAAAATAAGTGATTTAATTTAATACAAATGTGGTGTAATGATAACCCCGTATGGAGGAGTTGACCATGTGTGTGTTCTGCTGCGGTTCCTCAGTCTGTCGGAGAACCAGTCTCTGCTCAGGATGCCTCCCTGGGAGAACGTCTGGCTGCTGGGGGCCATCTGCCTCTCCATGTCCCTGCACTTCCTCATCCTCTACGTGGAGCCACTTCCTGTGAGTTACAACACACTTTATTCATGGTGCTGTCGTCTGAAAACACCTCTCAGGAATCTGCAGAAAGGAGAAATGTAACACAGAATGATCATGTGTCTATCAAAATGTAGTTTTTCTCTCAAGTATCAACTAGATACTTGCCTCTATTCTGACATGTTTACATGCTTTAATGTTCAAAAAGTGCTGTAGTCACCACCTTTAGCTTAGCGGTGGTGACGTGAAGTCATGTGACCGTGCTGTAGTTCCTCTAGAGCCCAACATTAGCCACCTTTAGCTTAGCGGTGGTGACAGGATCACTATTGGCTGCAGTCTTTGTTTCTGTTTGTTGGGTCGGGTTTATACAAACAGATTAAAAGCAGCGTGTTGCATTGCTCTCTAATCTCTAATCTCTGGATTAACTGTCAGGCTGATCCAACGCCAGACGGTGACAAGAGTAACTAATGGCAGAGATTTACAGTCAGCAAATGATCCTGCAGACACGCTCTCCCTGTCAGAAAGGTTCCCAGTTCTTTCTGAAGGTGCTTTCATAATCTAAAGCTAACGTTTGTCCCAGTCTGAGCAAAGGTAGGGCTGCATATTATATGTTTTTATCATCAATATCCACATGGGCAAGGACATTTAACTCAACCGTGTAATGCTAAAATCTTCTTTAGTGCTTGATCCAAAGAGAAAACTCCGGAGGGAAACACATAAGAAGAAGGGGAACATCAATCATATGGAGATATTTAGGCTACAGAAAAGTCAACGTTGACCGTGTTATCTGGTGACATTTTGCATTCTGTTACTACAGTACATTTTTCTCAGGAGAAAACATAAGTCTGTTTTTATTGACTGATGAACGTGTCCTTTCAGAAGTACTTCTTTTTGGACAGAAATGTGCCGCTTTGCAGGTGCTTTTGGTGACACTGGGAGATATCCTGCTTTAGCGCTCCTACAAAATGCTCCTAAATACTTCTGTTCTGTCACATTTGGCCCAGATGTCCAACAAACGTGGGTCTTCTCTGATGCCCCTTTCACACCAAGGCTTTTCCCGTTCTAGCTCCGTGCTAGAGCTTTTCTGGTACGGAACCGGTTCTTCGGTTCAGCTCCCGCTCTGTTCACACCGCTCCGAGCCCGACTGGTGCTTCGTCATTGCGTCATCGTTTGCGTCATGACGAAACCGTTTGCGTGCCTGCTTCGTAAAGCCAAACCGCCACTCCGTCCGAGGTCTCACTTTTGGTCCCAATAATCCTTCTTGACTTTTCTCAATTTGTTGCCAATCTGTTCAACGGTACGGTCAAAACCAGCGGTTGCCATCTCTTGCTGCAATTGTTATAGAATTGCTTTGGACCGTGTGCTCCCCTCCAGCTTCCTCTGTACCTCTTCGGAAGACCAGATTCCAAGTAGGTAGCTGGTCTCTTCAGTGGACCACTGCTGCTTGGTGTAAAAGGGGCATAAGTGGTCAAAACAGACCCGGCCAGCTAAGGAACCCTTAAACTAATTACAATTAAAAGAGTGACGTTTTAGGGATGCATGATACATACATACTGATAAACTGACATGTCAAATTAATGTTTTTAAAGATTTAGTATAAAATAACGCCTAGCAGTTTGCAAAACAAGCGTTATTGATGTACTTAACGGGAAAAAATACCCGTATAAAAGGAATTATCTTGTAAATTAAATATTAGAAATTGATTTTCTTTTATTATAATTAGAAATAAAGTACATAATTTGACACAGGATAGGTAAAATGGGTGAGGTGTTGAACACAAAATGTTACTAATAATCTTCCAGTTACATTATTAGGTAAGTATAATTAATGATGTATTTATATCCTATCAATTGATGACCATCGTTTTCTTTACCCTTTGTTTCCCTCTCAATGTCTTCTAATTTGTTATTTACATATCAAGTGTATTCATTTTCTCGTGTATGCTCTATAAAACACGCACTGTGCTGTCCTGGCCGTCGACTCCTCCTTCGTCTCCGCTGATGTACTTGACTTTCTGCACTCCTTTCATCTTGTACTCATCTGTGACAGAGTGGGAGAAAGAGAGTTAGAGAGGACGTCTCCTCTTATTAAAACACGCCTCCGGGTTAATAGTGCTCACTTCTTGGCAAAGTCATGGTGTGCTGGAGTTCTCACGCTGCAGACTAAATCCTCTCTGAACAATGGCTGGTGAGCGGAGAACACTTGAGCCCCTCTTTTCTCTGCTTCTCTTTCTTTCCACTTCCACGCATTTGAAAGGAGGAAATTGAAACAGTGCATGATGGCCTGATGGACTCAGTTATAACACATCACATTAACGCTGTGCCAGTTATTATTGAAGCTGCATTTATTATTCCTCCGTAGCAGCTTTAACAACAACTATGACAATTATAGGTTTTAACTATTTGACAGATTGTGTGAATATGCCAAAAATAAAGCACATGTTAAGGGTTTTATTAGGATGTGACAGCTGGGATTTGTTCCCCTTTATTTGACCAGAAATATCACATTGAAGGTCTTAAGTCAATTAGGTCTGAACTTTGGACAAACTGCTTTTAATTTGATTGAGAAAGCAGCATGTCCTTCAAATCAATGTATTGCTCATGTTAATTAAGCGTGACCCTTAATAATCTATAGAGATGTTTGAATTAAGAAATATATGAAACACTGCTAACTATTAAAATGTTCAAATCAAGTTTGCATTCACACTGTGTTCTGTTATTATTATCGTCATAATTATTATGGATTCACATTTGTTATGTTGTAAAGCCCAACCTTTGTGTCCTATTCATCCAGAGATTTTGAAATGAAACTCATCACAAAGTGATCTGTTTTGACATCACAGCATTAACTTGTGTCTGCTTTTACCTACTGAAAGATTGTGTTTTATAAGAACATAAAGCATTTCCATAATGATGTCAGCACCTTTCAGCTCTCATGCGCTTCTGCCTTTAATAAAGCAATAATTCATGCTTTCATCCTTAACTGAGAGCATCAGGATCACCATGGATACATCTAACAAGACTCCAGAATGATGTTAAATATATTACATTTCAAATTCCTATATTGATATAAATGTGGTCTAATCTTTAGAAAGCCACCACAGGCTGTGTCACACAGGAACATAAATGTCTGCAGAATGACAGATGAATGGTGGCTAGAATAGAGCTAGTCGATATATTGATATTAAATGTATTGATTGTAATATGGATTAGCCATCATCTCATTATGTGGATATTGTAGTTTTGCTTAGTGTTATCTTTTTGTTGCTTTAAAATCTGCATTACTGTGAAGGGATTTATTTTAAGAACTAACTAGACGGATTTATTATTTGCCTAAACCCACTTTCTTACTCCGTTCTGAAAATGGCATTGTGTGAATATTTTATGAAAGCATTATCATCAAGTTTTCAAGGTATTTGGTTCAAAATTGGGCAGTTTTGGCGCAGTGGTTAGAGCGTTGGTCATCAGATCAAGGGGCGATGGTGAACTCCAGTTCGAATCCCGCCTCGGCCGGCACTGCGTCAGGCCGTTGTGTCCTTGGGCAAGACACTTTACCTGCATTTGCTCCTGTGGGTAATGTCCACAGTAATGAGTCTTACATGTGTAATGTAAAGTGCTTTGAGCACCTGTAAAAGCGCTCTAATAAAAAATGCAATGCATTATTATTTATTATTATTATTATAAAATAAAATAGAGATTAGATTATTTTCCAAATCCGCTAGCTCTTGTGTCAAAAACCTCATCTTTTTTACAAAAGTAAAAGTAATCATTATGCAGTTCATGTAATCTCTGTCATGTTTAACCAATTTTGAACACTGTGTAGATAAGTAGTATGGTTCTGAAGTACGGCATCATATTATACAGGCAGACCATGTGTTTGCATTTATAAAAGGTAGCCAGTAACAATGAGTGTTGAATAATAATTGTGTAAAATGTACAATATTTCCATCTTAAATGCAGCAGAGTAAAAGTAGCAGAACATGTGAATTGATATTTGGTTCCAATCGCACAGCAAGCAGCCACTTGGCAGTGGCACATACCTCATATACTGTATATTACTTCAACCCCAAATGAAAGCAAGGCTCTTAAGGGATTTGAACACACTTAAAGTGCATGGGACATGTGATGATAGTGAGTGGACAGACTGACCGGAGTGGAGGTCCCCGTTGCTGTGGGCTTTGCTCTGGCGCTCCTCCCCGCTGGGCACGGCAGACACCTGCTTGGCAGAGGTGCAGCCCATCTCCCACCCTCAGCTGCTCTGCTCCTCAGCCCTGAGCACAACAGGCACACCTGGGGGGGGGGAAGCATGGTCAGATATGTGTAAATCAGGAGTTCACAAAGGTATTCTGTAAGCAAAGACCTTTTCCCAGCAGAAATACCTCAGACGATCTCTTGATTTAGCTTCTGTCCCCGGGGAAATCATGAGCGGAGCATCTGTCAGACACGTTAGAGGACAGTCTGCTCTATGTAATTACCAAAAGGGCTGACGCTGCACATTCTTTACATAAACTGTGTTCCGAAATAACAGATAACGATTACACTGTATTTAGATATAAGTATAATTTTAAAGAGGGCCTGTTCTTTTTGTGGTTTTCCCTTCCTGTAGTGTGTCCTAAAGGTTTAAGTGCATTTAACTGGTCTGCAAAGGCTACAATCCCTGTGTTCCCTCCACACACTCACCCTCCCCTGCCTGAAACGCCTCCATTGGACCCCTTGGTTTTCTTCTGTAACATAATGACATCAGTATGTGACACTAACGTTTCTGTTGGCTAGCGCTCCAACACATTGTACGCTCAGTTGCGTGACATCATCTCTAAGCAGTTGACCAATCACAACAGAACAGGCCAGCTAACCAATCACAGCAGACTGGGCTCTGGTTTCAGACAGAGGGTGAAAAGAGGTGCTGCAGCACAGGCAGTATGAGAAACATAAAGAGCTTTTTGAACATTAAAGCATGGAGACATGTCACAGTTGATGCACAAAATACAAATATGAACCTGAGCATGAGCAGAATAGGGCCCCTTTAAAGAAAGCTGGAACTATAAAAGTTGCTTTTTTGACTAAAATAATCAGAAATCAAACAGCAACAATTTTGCCATTGACTATTTTAGAGTCAGTTGCTCAGTCCGCTTAGGAACTGGATGGTCACTGGTTTGAGTCCCAAAACATTGTGTGTACTTGTGGCTTGAGAGATGCGGGTTCAACTCCTGGACCCTGCTGAAGTGTCCTTGAGCAAGGCAATGAACCTGCCACAACGAGACAGGTCCTTTGCTCCACTATGTGTTCATTTCGTGGCTAATGTGTATAGGTCCTGTTTGCATGTGTGTATTTACTATCATATCCGCCTCTGAGAGGAAAGGAAGTCTTCCTGGACTCCAGCTGGGTTTACAGTATTTTTTCACAATCAATTAGTCATGAAGTGCCCCACCCTGGAATTAAATCGCTGGCTTCCCTATCTGTTCCTGAATACACCGTGTAGCCGCGCTGTAAATCATGCAAGCAGCGCCTTGGAACACCAATCAGAAGGTGGTGCCAGCTGCACCGCAACAATAAGGCCTTTCAGTCGGTGTGGTACCCCCGTGCCAATCCGCCGGCTCCCCTCTCTGTCAGGGGAGGTGGGGGGGGTACTGCGACGCACAGGATTAATCTGTGGCGGTGTTCAAGTGCTCCCACCCCGCAGTATCATGGCTAAAATGACGGTGTGTTGGTGCCAATCACCCGGTAGTGTTTTACATTAAGCTCCAGGTACATTGGAGAGTGATTGATCCCCTAATTGCATGGACCATCGCGCAGCTGCTCTGCACACATTTGTATATAAAGATAGAAGCTACATCCAATACTGTTAGGGGAGCAAACAAGAAGAAAGATGAGAGTAACATGCATCCCCTTTTAGCTGAAATATTTCAAACATTCATCACAGAGAGGGAATAACGTGCAGGGCTCCTTAAACAAATAATAACAAAAGAGCAGCCATTCCACGGCCAGCAGGAAATAGCCAGATTATATCGCATGTAAGGAATCAGCAAGCGTAAAATATCGAAATGCATGTACAGTAATGGGGGAAATTACCTATCTGGTTTGACCATGGTTCCTCTGGGTTTAGTACGGAGAGGCTTCACTCCAGACGGAGGACCCAGACAGCGCATCTGCAGCTCCACACAGGCATCGGCGATGCAGATGCGGTCCGTCCGTCTGCCAGCTGTCTGCTCCGGGCTCATGTCCTGATACCCTGTTAAAGGGAGAACATGTATTTTTTTAGAGAATACAAAAGCGGATCAACCAACAGCTAACTTGGTATATTTTTTCACATAACCACAGTCTTTTTTCTTTACAGTTTTTAGTTGCATCCTACCTCTTATGCGATGGAAATTTGACTACGAAGTCTAATCAGTTTCCACCCGGGCCGAATTCACCGGCGCACCAGGAACTTCCGTCCAGCTCATTCCTTCTGCATCATCAAAGTTGACAGCAAAAGATAGAAAGTTTTTTAAGTGCGCTGTCTTTGACCAAAAGCAGCAGCTGACCCTGCCGATAGTTGACCTCCAGCGGTATGACGACCCTCACAATGATCGCTCGGGTGGCGGACGGACTCCCGCTCGCCGCATCCATTCAGGAGGATGAGCAGGTAGGAGGGATGCTAGCTCCGTTAGCCTCTGTGTGAGGACAGAGCTCCACGCCAGGCTCCATTCACAAATCATACTGTTTAAGGACTGCTAGCTTATCCGCAAATGTAGTTCTCCAAATAACAAGAGTGAAGTCTTTATTTTAATTACTAGTGTTACATTTGCTATGAAAATAATAAACAAAGCAGGAGTTTTACTATAGAAAATATGATATTTGTATGTAAAGGTCAGTAACGATAACATACGTAGTTGCATTTCGGTTGTCCATCACTCTGTGAATTATTATAATGGAATTTGTCGAAATAAAAGGAACTACGTTTAGCTAGATACAAATTTAAAAAGTGTATTGTTTTGCGTGCGGAAAGGTTGATAGACATATTTTTTTAACGATTTTTCATAAATGATAGCTCCGTAACAATATGCATGCATTTGAATTATGAATGTGTAATGCCCTGTATAACAGATAGAGGGCAGCAGTTCACCTCTCCTACTGGCTCCATAAAATCTAAATGAAGAGTCATTATAGTTCTAAAATAATACATAAATAAACGAATAACTAAAAACAAGTGGTGTTACAAGACAGGATGGGCCTAGTCAGTTGGCATGTGATTTCAGTAGATATGTCTGCAACATAAAACATGCACTACTTGAAAATCATGTTGACATCAAATTATGAGAATGTCAGTCGTTTTTTTTTTACAGCAAAAATGTGCCCTTATCCTACACATTCGGCCTATAAATGATTAAATGTAAAAAAAACATAGAATATATTGGGATTATTCATTCCCCACTGCTGTGGATCTTGGGTCGATAACAACCTGGGAAACATTCACACATCTCCGCCTCCGTTTCTTTTTCAAATCTATCTCTGTTGTTAAAGGACCTGGTAGCGCAGAAATTTCTTTAAAAAAAGGAAGTGGTTTTTGGACGGTTTGTGTCATTTTAATGAATCTTGATAAAAGAGTATTTGTAAATGCCATACAACTGACTATAACCTCGTTTTTCTTCATGTCTATCAGTCAGGAAGAGACCTGCAGCACTACCAGAGCCAAGCCAAGCAGCTGTGCCGTAAACTGAACGCTCAGAGTCCGGACCGCTGTACGCTGGAGGCTGGGGACATGAACTTCCAGTAAGTTACCACAAGCAGGGAAAGTATGAATATCATACTTTTCCCTATACATTTGGAGCAGGAGCAGCAGCAAAACTTAATTCAGCATCTAAAAGAAAGGCACACCTAAATCAATCAATATCCACTTAAAGGTGGGGTAGGTCATTCACTTCAGAAACACTTTTTGTTATATTCCATGGAATGCTCTTAACATCCCGATACCAATGAATATATTAAATGCTTTGACAATAAATACATAAAAAAATCTGTGGAAGCCGTAGCGCTGTAAAAAGCACGACCAATAATCTGAGCCGGCCCGGCTAAAATAACTGGATGGCCTACCTGCCTGTCAGCCTTCCATCTGTGCACCAACTTATCTCGTGCCCTTATTGGTCATGTGCGCGTCCGTTGGAGGAGGGGCTCTGTAAGGAAGTCTGATGGAAGGGGCAGATTTGTTTCGGCTGCGTACTTTCAAACTCCAGCACACTCGAGCTGGTTTCTCCATTCTTACCTACCCTACCTTTTAAGTAAACATTATATCAATATTTAGAATATTTTCACCTTTACTTTCCATTCAGACCTCATTTTACGACAAGGAACTGTCAATATTATATCCATCTATGCTCTCGCCAAAACCACCAGACTCCATTGATAAAAATCCACATATTATCTCGCAGAACAAAGGAGTTGCTGCTGTATCGCTGCCTCATATCAGCTAGTTTGTTTGGCGTTATTATGGGAGTTGGAGGATTCCAAACTGAAAAAATTCACACAGACTGAGTGGTGAAAATATTCTCAATAAAGCATACATTAACATAATTATAGGGGTCTAAAAATTAGTTTGCTGCTGCCTCCTGTTTACAGCAGTATAATGCTTGAGTAATACACTGACTATGGATAAGTACCTCATATAACCCCACTTCAGAATATCCAAACTATTCCTTTAATTTGTATTCTTAAAGGGGTAAAATCCACTTTACTTCGATAATATTTCACAATTAGTTTGGTGACGTTTAGTTTGATATTAACAGGCATTATAAAGATCCATTGAATTGGTCTGGTTTTTTGTTTCCAGCTACCTAATAGCAGAGGGTGTATGCTACCTGTTCCTCTGTGAGGCTTCCTTCCCCAAAAAGATGGCGTTTGTATACCTCGAAGAGCTCCACACAGAGTTCTACGACCAGTACGGGAAGAGAGTGACCACAGTAACCAGGCCGTACTCTTTCATCGAGTTTGGTAAGACTGTTTGAGATCTGCTACATTCAAGAAGTCTTTCACACAACCCTCTGACTTTGTCCTACATGCATTGTTTCAGACACATACATCCAGAAAACAAAGAGGTCATACGTAGACGGCCGGGCCAGGAGGAACTTCAGCAGCATCAACACAGAGCTACAGGACGTCCAGAGGATCATGGTGGCAAATATTGAAGAAGTTCTGCAAAGAGGAGAATGTCTTTCTGGTAAGTGGGTTACAGGAATGAAGAAAGATCAGTCCTAGCAAGAGCAGAAGGAACCAAAAACCACCTGAATCCTAAATCCCTTACAAGTTTGCTGCTACTTTGCTTTTGTGAAAATTAAATATTAAACCCATAGTAATATATTATGCATTAACCAATCAGAGCAGATTACGCTCTGGTTTCAGACAGAGGGTGAAAAGAGGTGCTGCAGCACAGGCAATATGAGAGAAATAAAGAGCTTTTTGAACATTAAAGCATGGAGACATGTCACAGTAGACACACAATACAATAATGATCTTTAAAATGAGTATAATATTTCATTTTTAAAGTAAGTCTCTGGTTAATTTATTTTCTACTCTTCTTCCCACAGCTCTAGACACTAAAGCCAGCAACCTGACAAGCCTTTCAAAGAAGTACCGCAGCGACGCCAAGTACCTCAACACCCGCTCCACATACGCCAAGGTGGCCGCTGTGACCGTGTGCGTCATCACTCTCATCATCTATGTGCGCTTCTGGTGGCTCTGATGGACCCTCAAGCAAGGACTTTAAAATAAGGGAGAGGGAGTTTCCTTTGGGAAATGTAAAGGAGTACTCGAAGTATTCCTTTAAAAGTTGATGCTGTTACTTTACTCTTAAAAGACAGGGTGCTTTAAAGGAAAAGTATACAGTCTATCCCTAGAAGGTAGATATTCTTTTGGTGTTTTATCCAACTTTGACTCATACCATGTACATGGTGTACACGGAGCCATTGGGTTTCTCTGTATGGGAGCAAATGCCTCATGGTGAGTTCATGTACCTGTTTACTGGAATATTAGGAGCAGGGTGTTTGTAAGTTAATTTATAAGCCGGTTGGGGTTTTCTTCAGAGTTTAAGCATTATAGGTGAATCCATGTGTGACAGGTTTTTGTGAAGTCCCAATACTGTGATAAATGAATGTTTATTGTTCCGAATGTTTACATTGTAACAAAGTCTTAATGAAAATATTAAATATTTATCAAAGTTTCTATTTTACAGCTGGATTTATGAAAACATGTTAATATGAGCTGGATGGTACTTACAAACCAACATTTCCTATCTCACAAAGCAAGACTAAAAGATGAATCGGAAATGTATCAACCGCAAGGTGTACTAGACTTTTGTAAAATATGACTCAAAGACCATTTGTATGAAGTATTTTAGTGCTGCAGAGATTTCTGGGCCTACAAATGCTATTCAACATACTTCACATTCAAAAAAACATTTTGGTACAATACAAATGATCATTTTACTATTTTTTCAAAAAAATTATGGACATATTGTTATGACAATATAAAAAAAAAAATGGATTGTTTTCCCATATGGTTCAGGCTCTTAACATACAGGTTGCTCACATGCTGCTCATGTTAATACAACAGGAGGAAAACAGTCCAGGGGGGGGGGGGCTCTGCTGGGAACATGAGGAAACAACTGAGACTGTGTGCTCTTACGGAGGAGCAGGAGATGAATCCAGAAACGTTGAATAGTTAAGGCTGGCACCACTAAAAGAGATGTTGTTTGGTGAACAATGTGTAATCTACTCCTGTCCTTGTTTAGGAGAACTTTTTTCTTCCCACATTTTTCAAGTTGGTAGGAGATTCAGAGGTGTCCTTGAGGGTTGTCCATTTCCTTATTTGACAGTAAAGTCCTTTCCTCCGGGGTGATGAGGGAGCTTACACCACAGATTTATGCCAATAGATCAAAGTCGTCCCTCTGCAGAAGAAACACACATCAGCATAATGCTCTACTTTTCTGGTACTATCAATAACAATTTTCATGAGTGGTTCAATCCCTAGGTGGTCATTGTCTGTACGATAAAGGTGAGGGCTGATCCATAAATCTCACTCACCTCATCATTATAATTCAGGACATGCTGCTTGATCTTAGAGGAGTCCACCCAAGTGACGAAGTCTTCCATATTTCTGAAAAAAAGTCAACGTGTAAATATTGCATCCATTGAGATGCTTTTCCTCATTTATCTATATTCTCAGTAATGTAGGTTTTTGTGTAATGCCCTTTAGTACATAAAGTAGTTCAAAACCAATCCTGGCAGAACCAAATGTTGTAAACTAACCTTGTGACGAGAAATGCCGGGTCTGTGATAATCTCCGGGCCAACTCGCACATCTGAGACTGGGTCAAGGTCAATACTGCAAACATATTTATTCCCATGGGCATAGACCAAACTAACTTATCTGTGGAAGGAAATTCTAGACACAACAATGCTGTAGTGAAGGATACGTCCTTGTTGGATGAAGGTGATGGCGGTCTTCAGGTTCTGAGCCATACGGAGGTTCAGAATGATGCTGGGCAGCCTCCTCCTGCAGGAGTCACACGTGGATTTAATGAGCGTTCCCTTGATTATAAAGCAATGGGATTTTCCCACTGGATTTGCAGAAAATAAGATCCATGGCCAACACACGTTTGTGGTACTTTCAGGTTTGTTCAGCAGGTTGATCTTCACATTTTAACACAACTTTTATGAGATTAGAACAGTAATTACAAACCAAAACTAAAAGCTTACGTTGGGCTGTAAACAAACTTCATCATGGTCGCATGGCTGCGCACCAGCGCTAAGCTAAAGGCGGCTAATGTTTGCGTGGCGGCATTGAGTAGTCTCATTTAGTCTCTTGTTAGCAACTGCCATTTTAATGACACGTAGAAGCTTTGGATATTCATCAGTGCGGTATTTACTGACACATTTTATGTCCTTACCTTATTTTCTTGAATCTTACCAAAATTACGTTCCAAAATTCATTGATTTTAAGACGAGGGGGTACAGAACTGCTAAAATGCTAACTCATTTTCGAGGAATTATTCCTGCACTCTATTAAAGTACAACATGTGTGTGGGGTGGTTTACCTGCAGAATGAAGAAGCTGTGACCTTCTCCGTCAGGGACAGATTCTGTTTGGTGGGCGTCAGACCGATACTGTACCTAATGTGAAGAAACAATAAAATCATCAGTGAGATATTGTACTTTCAAAAGGATAAACCATGACTGTCAAACAAGTCAAACTAGGAGCCTGTATGATGTACAACTTAAAGCAGATTTATAGTTTCACGCACACATGCGTACTACAATGTGTGTACGCATTTCACTTGGGTTTTCATGTTGGTCACTTGGGCGTTGCTATGTTGATTATAGCAAAAGGAAAAAGTGAGCTTGTAGGTTGCCATGGTGATCTACATAGTTGAAAGTGAGCCACCTTGATCACACAGGAAAACCCAAGGTAAGCTCAAAGGGAGAAGAAGACCTCCCCTCTGTTTTGTGAAGCAAGCCCTGAGTGTTGACTTAAAGGTATAAGATGGATGATTCGGTCAGGGTAAACGATATCACAAAGAGACTCAATAACTCACAGTTTCTCCAGCAGATGGTGTGTGCTCTGAGCTCTGAAGCCATCCTTCTCATCCAGGTCTCGGATTTTCTGGACGAGTTCTCTGATGTGACGACTCAGCTTATTGTACCTGAGACACAGGAGGAAAACACACTCTTAGACAATATAAACAACTGACAGAATTGTTTTTGTTTAAAAAAAAAAAAAATATGGTTACAGAGAATACAGCACAAAAATGAAGATGAATAATAACCTAAAAAGTGAATACAAAATGTGTATTATAATGTGTAGTATAATTAACAAAAAAAAGACAATAAATAAGTTATGGTAAACAAATACATCAATAATTATAACTAAAAATTACAATGTTTTGGGTTGTATATCTCACCCATTTAGTTTGCCTAGTGTTTACAGCATCTCTCCAGCGATATGCCTTTAAATTGTCTTTGTACTTAAAATATCAGATAAGAATCTTACATGTGTATCTTTGCAGTGGTCCGAGTTTGTTGTGCTAAGGTTTTTTGCACATTGGTTCCCAATCCTTTGGAGGTATAATGCAGGAAGGTGTATTTTCCTTTAATGGTTTACATTCAGGGATGGCAAACATACGGCCCGCGGGCCGGATCCGGCCCGGGAAGCATTTCAGCTTGGCCCACGGAGCTGAAGGACTTTGCTAAGTAGGCTGTGAGAGGAGGAAAAAAACTGCTATTTTGAATCCTTCCNGTTCTAGCTCCGTGCTAGAGCTTTTCTGGTTCAGAACCGGTTCTTCGGTTCAGCTCCCGCTCTGTTCACAACGCCCAGATGACGCAGCACCAGTCGGACTCTGGGCGTTGTGAACAGAGCGGGAGCTGAACCGAAGAACCGGTTCTGAACCAGAAAAGCTCTAGCACGGAGCTAGAACGGGAAAAGCCTTGGTGTGAAAGGGGCATTAGAAATCTCCCACCCTTTAGCCTATCACGTTCAATGCGTTGGAGTGATAGCCAATGAAAGCGCAAGTGTTACATAGTGATATCACCATGTGAAGTTAACAAAGGAGTCCATTTACATGCACTAAAACCTATAACACACTACAGGAAAGGGAAAACCCAAAAAAGCAGAATAGGGCCTCTTTAATTTGTTTCAAAATATCATGATTACATTACAATATACGGCAACTTTGAGCTGATTGTGTTTTTATCTCGTGATGTAATTTCTATTCTGCTGAATAATGGGATATGAGACAGCTGTAGGAGCAGGTGTGTGATTGTGTGTGCTTTGATGTCCTGCAGGAGAAAAGTGCTCTCCTGGGGAAAGGTCAACACATGGAGGAGTCAGGGTCCAATGGGAACGGAAAGATTCTGTGAGTGTCCCTGACGGACGATTCAATATCATTAACATGCGTTCATAGCTTGTGTTTGTTGAGTTATATTTAGTCATAGCGCTGCCATAAAGAATAAATACACAAATAGATAAGTTCATAAAAACATGAAATATCAAGAGAAAAAATCATCAATAATTGTGAAAATGTAACATAAAACATTTAAAGGAAAAATGTAATAATATTAATTTGAATTATAAACCATTTCCCTATTGCCCGTTTTATATTTCTATGTATAAGGTACAGCAAAAAAAAATTACAAAATGAAACACAATTACATTTTTATCATTCATTTGTTGTCTATATTCTGAGACTGCCAAGGCACACNTTTGAATTATAAACCATTTCCCTATTGCCCGTTTTATATTTCTATGTATAAGGTACAGCAAAAAAAAATTACAAAATGAAACACAATTACATTTTTATCATTCATTTGTTGTCTATATTTGTTTTCCATTTTTTTTCCATTATATGTCCACATTGTTTTATTTACAATAAAACATTTTTTCATTTTGTTTTTTGACACTCCATTCTATCCTTTAAAGTCATGGCCATGCCCTGAGTTATTCTGCCGATCTTTAACGTTGTTCCATTTCCTCTGCAGGAGCATCCACTCCTCAGAGAGTCAGCAAGAGTTCTTCAAGATGCTGGACGAAAAAATTGCAAAGGTAAGAAACAACAACAACAACAACAACCCATCATCGAAGCATCACACTATATCGTTATTGGGTTTTTGCCCAAATCTCTGTCTAAATGACACTGAGGTTAATCCTATCACTGCAGCCAATCTGTGAGGACACAGCAGATGACATAATGATGTGTCAAAAAAAACCTCAATGTGTCATGTGCTTCTACTAGTGTGGTTAGTATGGTTGAAAACATTTTAACAATTGATTCTGGCATTAATATCAGTATATCTAAATCCAGATTCAGTGTGTTTCTCTGTAACATAGAGCTCTATTTTTGTCTATAGAGTATTTAAACACATAGATGAGCCACACTGGGTGACATGTTCCTTCATTGCACAAGCACAGGGACTGTCCTGCTGCTGAAATACTCACACACACCAGATGTGTTTTTATCCGCTGTTTAATATAGTCTCTAATGCACTATTCACTCAGCTGTTTTTCCTTTTTTACCTGAGTTATTACCATCTGCCACAGCATGTCTGGTAAGTAAGGAGATGAATTGGCAAATGGATACATTTGTTTTTGTAAGAGCCAACATTAAAGGTGGTGTATGGTAAGTTGGAGAAACCGGCTCGAGATACACTTTTTGTTATATTCCATGGAATGCTCTTAACATCCCGATAGCAATGAATATCTTGTGCTTTGACAAAAAACCCATAAAAAAATCTCATCTCTGGAAGCCGTAGTACTGTAAAAAGCACGACCAATCATCTGAGCCGGCCCGGCTAAAATAACTGGATGGCCTACCTGCCTGTCAGCCTTCCATCTGTGCACAAACTTATCTCGTGCCCTCATTGGTCATGTGTGCGTTCGTGTGTGTTTGAGGAGGAGCTCTGTAAGGAAGTGGCAGATTTGTTCCGGCTGTGTATTACAAATTCTAGCGCACTCGAGCTGGGTTCTCCAAAATGACCTACCCCACCTTTAAGTGATGAGAAGCAGATATTTTTCCAAAACAAGGACAGTTTTGTTTTTAGCTTTCCCACACAGCCAATCCAAGCAGACAGGAAGTGTACCAGGGCTAGAAGCAAGTTTTTTTTAGTGGTCATCTGGTGGAGTCATGTAATGCCTTTTGGCCAATAAATACTTTTTCCCATTTTAAACATGATTCAGCTCATAATTATTTGGAGGAATAGTTGAAAAGTCCTTATGCAAACCATTATATTCTAAAGGTTGTATATTGCAGTAATAGCCTGGCTAAGCTGAGGCTGGCTGAGACGTATGGGCTAGGAGGCGGGTTTTGGAAAACACAAGTGTGCATGCTCTGTGGGTTTCATGGATGCGGAAGACCCCTGGAAAATGTGGGTATTATTGTTCTCAAGTCAGGCCATTTTGGTCTGATGTGCTGTTGAACAACTTTCGTAGGAATAAACGTGGACCTGCCTCCTGCACTGCATCTTCTTCTCTCTATACAGGCAGGCCAGGCTCAGTGCGCTGATCTTTGGATCAGGGTGGCACTGGTTCAATCCCCTCTGCGATCAGCATGCCGCTGTGTCCTTGGGCAAGACACTTCACCCTAAATTGCTCCTGTGGGGATGCCTAAAGTATTGAGTTGTATTGTATATAAGTCGCTTTGGGCAAAAGCGTCTAACAAGTGACATGTAATAATACACCCATGAGCCAATCACATTGCGCAGAGTTGCCCCTTTTAATTGTGATTATTATAAGGCAAAAGCCTGGGCACTCCTTAGTCTGAACAAAGATGGCAAACTTGATTGCTCCTTACTGACAAATGGCGTGCTTTCCAAAACCAATCCTTAAATGTTTATCTTTCACAATAAAAGCCCTAGATATTTATATTGGCAGGTAAGTATTTTTAGATGTTTGGGTTGTTAATTTGTCAGGCCTTGGTTGTGTAAAGACTTTAAGGAAACTGAGACACATACTATCATGTAATACTTTGTGTACACTCATATCTGTGTTTTGTCTACAGGGCCAGGACTACTGCTCAGAAGAGGAAGAAGATATGACATAGCACTGTGCTCGTGTGTCCATCGCGCCAATGTGGAGGAACTGTCATGGCAGTGCTACGGATGGACCGTACCATGTGCTAACTCAGGGGAAAGGTCCCTTGTATGTCCACGCCTGAGAAAAATGGATTACAGACTTGAATCAAGCACCTTTTTGCCCTCCTGCTCACAACCTGCTCGTATCTCAACTAAGAGAGAAAGGACCACCAAAATCAAAGTATTTTTAACCTCCTCGAAAAGAAGAACATTACATTCTACTTCCTTAATGAAGTCATTACAGGATGACAGAGATCTTGGGATTTTAAGACACACTTGCTTTTCTTCCCAACCTTGGAAAAGTCCTGTATGGTCAATATAAATGGCCATCACTGAGACATTTGAAACATTACGACTGTTGCACATTTACATTTCCAATGGCAGAAGCAGCCAGTGCTCTGGTGGGCACTTACCGTGAAAACGTATATCTCCATCTGCATCACTTTCAATATTCCATTCTTGAATGCCTCCCTGAAAAGTCAACCGTTTGGAAACTTCCTGCATTCCAAGACACAGTATGAACCTCTTTTCTACAGTACGTTGGCCAGTACATTGTGTTTGTCTACAGAAGATTATTAGTGCCAGGCAACAATGAGGAGGAATCTTTTTTTATTTTGCATTTCAAGGCAAAATGTCAATAATAAAGTCAAAGTCCAGTATATGCGCTAACACTAGTGGTCAGATATTTTCTCAGTTGGACAATTATCCTCAACATTTGCTACTTTATTCTTGAAAACGCAAAAACAAAAACATTTTCTCTCATATAATCCTTATTTCTGGACGCAATCATTTTCGTAGCGTCTGTCCATGTCTGTTTTCTGCTATGATGTAGAGAATCTATGTTGAATAAGGCTCAGGGTTGAAGTGTTGTAATCTTTGTCTCAAGTGGTCAAGTCCTTCCTCTCATAAAGACACTGTTTGAGCAGACACTCGTGCACTCACACAGCAGGGTCTTCCATGTCCCCTGCTTCAGTATCCGTCCCGTGTTATACCTACAGGGTGGACACTGCTTCATCACATACAAGTCTGATTATGTATTTCGCTCACCAGTAATATGTTGTTGTGTTTCTATGTTGAACTTTTGTTTTTTTAGAAAATAAAAAGTGTTTTCAGTAAGTTATCCATACAGCTTACAGTATTGTCTCACTCCTGCCGGATGAATCATTTTGTCGACAATAATTATATTCACTGTAGCTCAGCCGGTTTTAGTATGATTCAAATTAACTTTGCTGAAATTGCTGCGTTAAACAATGGTTTGAATATCCTTGGTTCCATTGAAGAAGCACCCAGTCAACTAATCTCTCAAACATGGCATGTCTCGTCTGTCTGTTTCCCCTATTAGGATGTAACTAAAGGTTTCCTAGAGATGCAATGTGTCCACGTTCCTCTGCTGACATGTTATCAGTACACCTTTTTTTTTAAGAGCAGTTTACAGTGTCTCTGTCGAATTCTGCTCTTCTTTATTCGTACAAAGCACCAAAGTGTCTTCTCACTCCAGCCGTTCAGTGCTTCTGATAGCATCCCCGTGCGAAGCTCCAGGCTCTGGCCCACCTTGGCATTGATACTGGTGGTGGAAACTCAGTGTGTGGTAAGGTTGAAAATCCTTTGTGTTTTATCGCGATTCATTATCAATAATTAACATTCACTTGCCACTGTATTATATTGTGCAGTAGTTTCTTTATCCCGTTAATTGGGGATTCATTAAAGTAGCCTACTGGATTTATATTTAATACATCATGTCTATACCACACAACTTCCCCTTATAATACAAAGGTAAACATTACAACCTTAATATTTGGTACAACTGTAGCTAAAAAAAAGAAGTCACACAAAGCAACAAATAACCTATGCTAACCCTAGGAGATTTCTAGCTATGCTAACTAAATTAATTTAAAGTTAGCACAACAGGAAAAAAGAGCAAAGAATTTAAATATTTCAGCATCACCATTAGCATAGCTAGCTAACGTGAGCCAACTCATAAGGTTAGCTCAAGTTTTTGCTACTTAACGTTACATTTACATGACTTCGAACAGAATGTATTGTTAACCTTGTTATTGGTAGAGGTTGTGTGGCTTATATAGTGGTGCAGGTATGAGTAATCTTTCTTTGTGTCTTCAAAACGGCGGTTGCTATTAAGTGGCTAAATGAGACTACTAACGTCATCACACTAAACACTAGCTGCTTTTAGCTAAGTGGAGGAGACGTGAAGTCATGTGACCACGACCGTTTGTTTATAGCCTTACGTTGTCTTATTTATGTGAACATTATCCCACTGAACAAAACATGCGAGTATCGTAACCATCCTTTTGACAAAATCAATTGTGAAAATCCCACAGACTTTTTGCACCTACAAAAAAATACATCATCCCTGCACCCTTCTATTACTGATGAATGTATGTTATCGTATCCGGATTATCATCTCTGTGAGACAGTTTCTGACATCACTTCCTTCTCTAAGCTTTGGACATAAAAGGGTCCAATGGATGAGCTGGGCCTGATCCTGGAGTTCTGCAGCTGGACCCGTCTCACTGCTGCTTCCGCCTCTTCCGGTGCTGCCGGCGACCCATATCCTGGAAGGGACCAGTAGGAGGGTCCGGTGTCACCAACCCATCAGTCATCCTCTGGTACACCAGGGTGGAGTCAGAGGCTACGGCACACAGCAGCATGGGAAAGCCTCGGTCCAGCACATAACGTATGCTGCACGGCAGAGAGGGGGAAGCTGTTAGCCTTGTGATGGTAAAAGTCTTCAACCAAAGAACCGAGAGGGCGGAGGGGCCAGTACATTTGAGAGATTCCCCAGTGTCTCATTACCTTTGGTGGCTCAGAGGTCGGTGAGTAGGCAGTGGAAAAACTGTCTGGATGGGTGCTCCTTCCTTCTCCCTCCCTTCCAGCAGAACCACCTGCAACTCAGGACTCTTGACACAGGACACCTCTTTCCACTGACGCACTGCAAGGAGCAAGAAGCACAGAATAAACGTGAGACAGTGAGAGCTAACTTACTCTGGGTCGAACTGTAGGGGGTCCTACACATCTTATTATGATGGAGGACTTTGTGGAGGAGACACACTTGTTTTCTCTCACTGCTGAATCCCCTTTCCCCGTTTAGAACATGTTTTTATAGTTCTCTCTGGCTGGATAGACACAAATGAAAGGATCAAGGTTAAGATAATATATATGTTACCTATGCGTATTGATACATCAGAATTGAGTGCACTTTATACAGAGATGATAAAAGGTCTCCCAATTTGTCAAAAAAGGAAACATTTAATCAGGTCAGTAATGGGCTTTAGTCAACCATTTATCCTTGACAGTCTTTCTTTTAAAATTCCTTAAGTGTGTCGATTTTGCTGAGAGAATTTAAGGGAGTAAATATAACATGACACTTACGGTTTGACTCGGACAATATTGAACCGGCTACCACAACAAGTTCACTGTATGTCGTCAGAACTGTTTTTGATAGTGAATTAATTAGCTATTTGTGCTGTGCCAATAACCAACCAAGGTAACCCCCGCCCACCTTATCATCTCCTCCTATAGCACCATTGTGTTTTTTCAAACCAATCATCTCTCAGAGGAGCGTGGCCAGCAGCAGCTCATTAGCATTTAAAGCTACAGAATCAGCACTTTTGAAACAGGGCTGAAATAGAGGGGTTTAAGGCATGCTACAATGATCAGTTTGGTATGTAGACCCAAACACTTCAGAGACTTGTTTTATATATCTGAGACCTTTTTAATAGTATAATAGGGGCCTTTAAAACGTTTTTTTAAAGGGGCTATTTATGTTACTTTATCCTTATATGTATTGAACCAACAATTAACTATAATGGTGGGGAAACAATTTAAAGTGAACACAACTGATTCCTTTTTATATAATTTTTTTTAAATATAGATAAAAATGACCATCACTCTGTTGACCCCATATTTATGACACACAAAAACAGACACAAAGTAATGGCTCCTGCTAAATGTTCTCAAACTCACCCTCAGACAGATCCATGTACACGAGGAAAGCTGCGTGTACCTGTGCACTGTCCTCCAACTCAAGACTTTTCATTTGCTGATACTAAAACAGCAAGAAGGAGAAATGCTGGTTATTGCATGATTTAGCGTCGGACCTGTGAACGCAGCACGGAGGATACTCACTGCTGGGTGCACGAGGATCCAGTTAGGAGCTTCCTCTGCTCTGTGTGACGCCTCCGACATTTTAATAACTTATCTACAGTCTAATGTCTCATACAGCATGGTTTAATGTCTCGACATAGCGCTGCTGTCGCGGCGGCATGTGTCAGATGTGTTTTCAGGTGTGCTACACTGAAAGTCGTCCGGGCGAAAAATCTTCTTCTTCTTCTTCTTTTCTTTAATGGCGAATCGCTTCCACTTGGAGCATATATCGCCACCTACTGTTTAGTTATTGAATGTTCATACTAAATCCTTGTCCTCAGACCAGTGCTTTTGAGGAATTTGAAGATCAGCTTGTTTGCTTCATTTCTTGATTTACTTTCAAACATTGCCTTGAAATCCATGTCCTTGATGTTGAGTTGTTCCAGTGCAGTTTTCAAAATGAATCTTTGTCTGTTATAGTCCGGGCAGCTAAAAAATACATGATGTATTGTCTCTGGTTGTTGGCAACCATCACAATTGCCATTTGGATGTTTTCCAATCAGATGCAGTGATGAGTTTAGTCCAGAGTGTCCCAATTTTATCCTGCTGTTGATGCTCTGCTCTCTTCTACTACTCCCCCAAGTGCTTCCTGTTCCTACTTCCCTTTGTATCTGATATAAATGTCTTCCTTTGGTGTTACTGTCCCATAGTTTTTGCCATTGTTGCTTGATAACCACTTTAGTAAAAGATTTGACTTCTGCTCTACTGATGGGTACCATAATATCAATCTGGTTTGCTTTCAAACCACATTTTGCCAGTTGATCCACTACTTCATTCCCTCTAATGCCCACATGCGCTGGAACCCAAACAAATTGAACAACAATTCCCAGATGAACTAACCTAAACATGCTTTGTAAAATTTCATGTAAAATATCCTGACGACATTCTGAAGAGAAGTTGTTTATACTCTCCAGAGCTGCACTGGAGTCAGAGCAAATGACCACTCGCATTGGCTGTATTAATGACAGCGGGGGGGGTACATTACCCCACTGATGTGCTAGAGCGTGTGAGTCACAGCATCATGGGCAAACCAGTGAGCTCAAGGCAGAGGGGCGAAGTGAGTACATATATTAAAACCTATAAACTCTTGCCATAACCTATCGAACCCAGGCCTAGCGGCTCTTATATTCATTTAATGTAAATGAAGAAGCATCTGTTTCTTATTGACTCTTCTGTATTTGGTATACATTTTCAACAGCACAGCATGTATTCATAAATTAATATACATATGCTGCTTTATCATATAAATAGTCGTATAAATGAGATATGCATCAGTGCTGCTCGGTGTGGAGGACGCTGTCGTTGTTAGCTCAACACTGTTCACCACTGGTGGAGTTCCATGGTTCTAAAGGCATCCTTTTTACCCGCCCGATGGAGTTTACAGCCGATTCTCCTGTGGCTGTTTTATACCCCCTAACCCCAGCAACAAGGACAGAGAGGAGGTACTGCAGTGAGCTGTACCGAGCCACCAGTGAGCAGCCAGACAGCACACCACAGACGGCCTTCTCATCGTAGCTGCGGGACTTCAACACGCTAACTTAAAGACTGGGCTGCCTCACATAGGCCTATATCAGCCACATTAGACCTGGTCCTTCAAGGGATAAATACAAGGCGTCCCCCCTCACCCCACATTGGCCTCTCTGAACCACCTCAAACTGTTCTGCTGGAACCGGCCTACAGAGCCAGGGTAAAAGCTACCAAACCGGTTTTCCAAACAGTGATCGGGTTTGTCAGAGACAGCACAGCTGCACTTCAAGACTGCTTTGGAAACTACAGACCTGGACATGCTCAAAGCAGGCAGCCACAGAC